GCAGGAAAAAATATCCAGTCTCTTTAATAAATGGTGCTGGGAAAATTGGCCTGCCACATGCAGAAGAATGAAACTGGACCATTCTCTTACACCATACACAAAGATAAACTCAAAGTGGATGAAAGACCTCACTGTGAGACAGGAATCCATCAAAATCCTAGAGGAGAACATAGGCAGTAACCTCTTTGACATCGGCCACAGCAACTTCTTTGAAGACCCGTCTCCAAAGGCAAGGGAAACAAAAGCGAAAATGAACTTTTGGGACTTCATTAAGATAAAGAGCTTTTACATAGCAAAGGAAACAGTCAACAAAACAAAGAGGCAACCCACAGAATGGGAGAAGATATTTGCAAATGACATTACAGATAAAGGGCTGGTATCCAAGATCTATAAAGAACTTCTCAAACTCAACACCCAAAAAACAAATAATCTAGCCAAAAATGAGCAGAAGACATGAACAGACACTTGTCCAAAGAAGAATGGCTAACAGACACATGCAAAAATGTTCATCATCATTAACCATCAGGGAAATTCAAATCAAAACCACATAGAGATACCACCTTACACCAGTTAGAGTGGCAAAAATTGACAAGGCAAGAAACAACAAATGTTGGAGAGGTTGTGGAGAAAGGGGAACCCTCTTACACTGTTGGTAGGAATGCAAGTTGGTGCAGCCACTTTGGAAAACAGTGTGGAAGTTCCTCAAAAAGTTCAAAATAGAGCTACCTTATGACCCAGCAGTTGCACTACTGGATATTTACCACAAAGATACAGATGTAGTGAAAAGAAGGGACACATGCACCCCAGTGTTCATAGAAGCAATGTCCACAATAGCCAAACTGTGGAAGGAGCTGAGACGCTCTTCAATAGATGAATGGATAAAAAAGATGGGGTCCATATATACAATGGAATATTACTCAGCCATCAGAAAGGATGAATACCCAACTTTTACATCAACATGGATGGGACTGGAGGAGATTATGCTAAGTGAAATAAGTCAAGCAGAGAAAGACAATTATCATATGGTTTCACTTATATGTGGAATTTAAGGAATAGCATGGAGGACATTAGGAGAAGGAAGGGAAAAATGAAGGGGAGGAAATCAGAGGGGGAGATGAACCATGAGAAACTTTGGACTCCGGGAAACAAACTGAGGGTTTCAGGGGGGGGGGGGCGGTGGGGGGATGGGTGAGCCCGGTGATGGGTATTAAGGAGGGCACGTAGTGCATGGAGCACTGGGTGTTATATGTAAACAATGAATCATGGAACACTACATCAAAAACAAATGATGTAAGAGAAAGACATGTATCATATGACCTCACTGATATGAGGAATTCTTAATCGCAGGAAACAAACTGAGGGTTGCTGGAGTGGGGGGTGGGGTGGGAGGGATGGAGTGACTGGGTGATAGACACTGGGGAGGGTATGTGCTCTGGTAAGCACTGTGAATTGTGCAAGACTGTTGAATCTCAGATCTGTACCTCTGAAACAAATAATGCAATATATGTTAAAAAAAAAAAAGAAGAAGAAGGTAGCAGGAGGGGAAGAATGAAGCAGGGGAAATCGGAGGGGTAGACGAACCATGAGAGACGATGGACTCTGAAAAACAAACTGAGGGTTCTAGAGGGGAGGGGGGTGGGAGGATGGGTTAGCCTGGTGGTGGGTATTGAGGAGGGCACATTCTGCATGGAGCACTGGGTGTTATGCACAAACAATGAATCATGGAACACTACATCTAAAACTAATGATGTAATGTATGGGGATTAACATAAGAATAAAAAAAATGATGTAATGTATGGTGACTAACATAACATAAGAAAATAAAAAAATAAAATAAAGTGGTTATAAAAGTACAACATGATATCTATCCTGCATACCTATCCAGATTCATTTAGTACTACTGTAGTTCTCTTTCTCGGTGTTTTCGCAAAAGACTTCCAGTCAGAGTCTCAAACATGCCATCTTCCTCCCATCTCAAGATCTTTGCACTTACCTATAATACTCCTCCCTATGCTTTCTTACCTAGCTCATTTCTCTAACTCCTTCCTGTCCTTAAAAGCAGAGCTCATTTATCAGAAAACACTTTCTCGACCTCTGAAACAAGAAAAGCACACACCTTCAATAGCCTCTCCTCACAATTCATGCATTTCCTTTCCAGCGCTTAACAGTTTGTGAATGTATATTTATTTACGTAACTTTTTAAAAAAAAACTATGAACTTCAGATTGTGAGGGAATGATATTGTTTGCTCACCATTATATATCTAGTACCCAGCACTGTGTTTAGCAAATAAATTATTCTAGTAACTGAATGAATGACTAGCAATTATTTTAAAGGGACATAATCCCAGTTTCTCTGTCAAGTCAAGCTGTCAACATGATTGACTGGGGCTCCTTAAAATGTAATGTGCATCCAAATTCCTCAGAGGACTTGTTAAAAATGCGGATTCTGATTCAGTAGATCTAGGGTGAAGCCTGTCATTCTGCATTTCCAACTCATATCTAACTAGCTGTAGAATTTGGTTGTAGATTGGAATCACCTTAGGAGCTTAAAAAAAAGAATCACAATTCTGAGATTTTATCGCTGGTGATTCTGGCTTAATTGTTATGTACTTGGCCAGGGCTTGGGGGATCTTTAAAAACTCCCCAGTTTAAAACAAACAAACAAAAAACACCCCACAAAAAAACCCCAAACAAACAAAAAAAACCTTCCCAGTTTATTCTAATATCAAACATTCTTGGAGATCCACTGATTCCAGGCAAAGCTCATCCTTAACAGGAGGTAAAGGGATATTTTCGTTGCCCTTTGCATTAAACAGCATCCAACATGGCCACCTGATAGAGGTCCATCTTATTACTATTTTTTAAATGCATATCTTTAGAGACACACAGCAAAGTGGTACCTACCATTTGTTGTGTGAGCTGAGAGAAGCCCATAGGAGTTGGTTAATGTGGCAGCAGAATGGTCCAATCTTAAACTTTCCCACCTCTATCATGGGGGAAACTTACGTCTTATCAAATATTCAAAATTAAGTGTAGCTATTGAAAAAAGTGGAACATTTTGGTAGAACCAAATGCAGTTATAGTAGCCTTTGCAGCCAGAGGAACAATGCATACTTACTCACATAATAGCATCAGAGAAAAGAGAACTGATGCACTTCCAAAAGGTGCAGTATTTGTAGTGAGTTTCTTGATTCCCTGCTTGCCCATAACCATGAACCTGAAGACGAGCCATAGGCTCTTGGGCATTTGGTTTACTTTCTTTGAAGATCAGTGCTTTTTAATCTAAAGCATAGTAACAATCCCCCTTTCTTGTCATTAATTCCGCTGACCGCTGATTATTTCCACTGATTTATTTTTGTTTGTGTTTTTTTTATTATGTTATGTTAATCACCATACATTACATCATTAGTTTTTGTTGTAGTGTTCCATGATTCATTGTTTGCGTATAACACCCAGTGCTCTATGCAGAACGTGCCCTCTTTAATACCCATCACCAGGCTAACCCATCCTCCAACCCCCCTCCCCTCTAGAACCCTCAGTTTGTTTCTCAGAGTCCATAGTCTCTCATGGTTCATCTCCTCCTCCGATTTTCCCCCCTTCATTTTTCCCTTCCTACTATTTTTTTTTTTAATCTTAAAAATTCCCCAACGTGGAGTATAATCTTTTGCACTGGGTAGCTTAGCACAGTAGTACATGTCAAGCCCTACACTAGCTGTTTTCATAGTCTCGGTTACTTAGTCTCCTCAGCAAACCTGTTAGGCAGATCACATTTTACAGATGACAAAATTGAAGCTTACTAGTTGACTAGCTTCCGCAAAACACACAGATGGCCAGTGGCAGAGTCCGGATATATCTGATGCTCTCTCCACCCCAGTGTTAATTAACAGTGTGTAGGCCAAATTTGGCCTTCAAATATATTGGTCCACATGGTCTGTGTATATTTGCATCTGATGGGCTGATTTCTTTGAATATAGAGTGGTGGATTCTACCTTCTGATTCTACTATTTTAGCTATTTGGAGGGGTTTCCAGTCAAAGTTTTGACTTCAGAGGGGTTTGTAAGTTGCATGGTTGCATGATTGTGTTGCAACAACCATAGCCCCATGAAAACTCACGTATCCCTTGGACTCATGGTGTAGTGTATTCCGTTTAGTCTCCTTCAAGGAAGACTGTGGTAAGGAAGAAGAGGATTTTCCCTAATGTTGTCAGGGCCTATGTGGTCTGGCCCTAGTAGCGCTGGGCAGGTCGTCCCAGGAATGTCACTGATTCCTGATGTAGCAGGACATGCAGAAAGCAAGATTCACACATAGGAGTCTTCTCCTTGGTTTTGAGAGTTGGTTGCCTCTGTTCCAATGTATCTGTTTCCTTTCTATGCCTGACTCTGACCCACAGCCCACTCTGGTGCTGGTTTCTCTGCACTCCCCGCGTCATTCAGTCTTCGCAGAGCCTTCTCATTGCATGTCGGAGCCCGGTCACTCAGTGGAGTGCAGGCACATAGGCTGTGCTACTGAAGCCTCGGAACAATCCTCTGATACACTTCTTATTCCCAGGAGACTGTGGCCCAAAGAGAAGGAGAAGGATTTTCAAATGGTTAAATACTAACCTTGACTAGTCTGTCACATATTTCACTTGGGCTTAAGAGGCCGATCTTGCAACTGAACCCTGGCTACGGAACATGAGAAAGATTATTCAACCATTCCTTATTTTACCACGTGGCCTACCATGTGAGACATCATCGATTTTAAGATATGCCGTTATTTGATATGCCACTGAGAACAGAAAAATCACTGTCAAGTAAATTATGTCATTTAAATTATGTTGATTATTATCCCCTTCTCAAGTACAGGTTTTCTAACATAAAAATATGTCTGAGGATTGACGAATATGGCACTTTAACTTTTATTGCATGCCTTTAAGGTAGAAGACACTAAAGTGTGAATTGTCTTACTAAGATGTAAGAAAGTAGATGAAAATATTTACACTACCATGTTCTTCCTTCAGCAACCATCAACTGACCTAGAATTTGACCGTGTAGTGATTTATACCACTTGCCTTCGTGTGGTACGGACAACCTTTGAAAGATGTGAACTGGTTAGAAAGATCTTCCAAAACCATCGAGTAAAATTTGAAGAGAAAAACATAGCTCTGAATGGTGACTATGGAAAAGAGTTAGATGAGCGATGCCGACGTGTTTCAGAAGCCCCTTCCCTCCCTGTCGTGTTCATCGATGGCCATTATCTTGGGGTAAGTACTCTGCTAAGGAAAATCTTCTTTTTTTATTGAACCCAACCAGTGTTGTTAGAAATCTGTAAGCCTATGACAAGGCGACTTGCAACATAACTCCCAGGACATTTGCTATTTTTTTGGAGTTCAGACCAAAGGGATTGAGGCACTTATTTCTATCCCAAATGATGTGTTGCTAACAGTGTTCATCCCTACAGAAGCATGGTGAGATAAAATCCACATGAAATTGTCTTTTTTAATAGGAATACATTTTTCACTTGTCCAGTTGACTTGAGTTTTGCATTATGAAGCTTGACATGTGAGATAAAAACTATTTTTTAGTTCACACAAGAAAAAGGGAATATTTATAAGATACACATTTATGAATTCTCTTATGCCCCATTATCGAACACTACCTACATTAGGTAGGTAGTTTCCTACCTAATGAAACAAAGATGGCAGTCCCAAAACAAAATCAATAAGAAATGGGGCCTGGAGCCAGAATTTTATCTGCTTGTTTTTTAAAATTATTCTGGATTTTGGTAATTTGGCAGCGTGAGACACAAATTTAGGCTTCCAGTAGCAGAGAAGGGAAAATTCCCGAGCAGCAATGAAACATGACTGCCTCCTTTCTCTTTGAGTAATACTGTTAGCGTAATTAACCCCCACTGATCTATGAACACACTCAATCGCTAAGAAGCCCAAGAAGAGGGCTCTGGAGAGTGCACTCTAGAAAGAGTAAGAACAAAGAGCCAAAGGAGGCCAGCGGTTGAGGGGGTGGGACTGACTCCCCCAGATCACTTATCAGAGAACAAAGAGCTGCCTTCAAATGGCAGACGGATATTTGGATCTTGGCTTTGTTTCACCTTTGGTCTTAACCTTCAGTTTTCAGAGATGGTTAGAAAAAATCCAGAGCAGGAAATGCTCATGTTTTGTTACAGGGAAGCTGTTCTGATATCCTGTCTAGAGCCATCTCTGTTAGAGACAGCCTGTCATCTTATGGAAAGACAAATGCAGAGAAGCCATGAGTCACTAGCTATGTCTTCTGCAATCTTACTTCAAACTTGAGTTGGATGCAGACTCCATTCTGAAGCAGAGGAATTTTGATTTGAAGGATTGAGCCTCTTTCATTATATTTCCACATGTACCCTTAGGTCCCAGAAAGCTACAACAATGACAGTGATAATAATGATAAATTAATAATAATAGTAGTAATACTGTTACTATACTGTGCTCTCAGCTTTACACATTCATCTCATCTAATCCCCAGGACAGCCTTAGAGAATACCTCTCTGCTCTCCTCGCTGAGAGGCAAGACAGCCTTGTTTCAAATTCCTGCTCTGATACTTCTGTGTGATTCTGGGTAATTTATAAATCACTCTGTGCCTTGGTTTTCTCATGTGTAAAAGGAGCATGGTAATAGAACTTTTCTCACAGACTAAATTGTGAGGATTTTACCGTATATGTAATATATAGAAGTGCTCAATTCCTGTGCCTGGAACAAAGTATGTTTTTAATAAATAGTAACAACTATTATCCTTGTTTTGCCAAAGAGAACATTAATTACTTTGCTCCAAATCACATAGCTGGTCAAGTGACAGGGCCAGGACTCAAAGTTAGGTCTGTCCGATTCCCCAAATCCCTGCTTTTTGGCACATCACCTCAAAGAAAGGGATCTTTGATACTTTGTCTGCTGATATGGTCTTATGCCTAGGACATGGTTTGGCACAAAGTGCTCAGAAACGTATGTTGAATGGGTGTATGAATGATGCTATACTGTTCTCTCACATTCTTTCCTTCTCTCCCTATGACATTCTTCCACAAGGAAAAGATCTGATAAACTCACTCACACCAGGGAGAAAATCACTGATAAGGTTGTGGTCATTTGCCTTTTAACCCTGGCAAAATTCTTCTGATGATGTAAGATATTTCACATTGTAGAATTTTAATTTCTGTGAAATTGCCCAATTAAATTTAGTGGGTGACTGCCTCCTTACACAGGTGTAATATGGTTGGCCTCACCTGATATGCTGCTTTTGACCATACTTATCTTCTTCCTCCTTCTAAGGCAATCTAACAGGCCGTGGTGCTATTTTTCTTTCCATTTGATGGGTAGAGGCAGAGGGCAACAGGTAAAGGAGGTGGTGTGCAGATTCTTTCTCAACTGCTTTTTCTGCGTGATTAGTTTATTAGCACACAGTGGCCTAGAGAAGGAAAGATCACACAGGTGCTACCTTGTTGCTTCTGCAATTTGAAGCTAATGCCCCAAATCTGGAAAGAGGCCGGAGACAGATTTTCTTTTCCTCTTTCTTTTTTCTTATAAAAGGAGAATTACTTCAAAATCTATAACTCAAAATGGAGGTAAGCACTCCAGAAAACAACTTCTACAACAGTTTCTCCTTCTACTACAAAAATGCCTTGATTTTAAATTCCAGTGCACAGTTGTAAATGGAATACATTGCTGGACTCATAGAGCCTTTTTCCTGCAGTATTCATTTATCTGAAATGGAAGGATGCCCTCTGCTGGGTTTTGGCACACGGTGAAGCATAATTTTTAGGGAGGAAAAGAAGCTGATGTTGGTAATTTCCTTAACATCTGTGATGTTTTAAACAGTCACATGAAACCATTTGATTTAGTTTAAATGTAGATGAGTGAAAAATCAAGCTGTATGTATCATCTGTGCAATACAACCTTTTTAAGGAGGGAGAGGGAGAACTAGAGAGGGACAGAGAAAGAGGTATATAGGGACAGAAATAGGCCTATGGAGGCAGTGAGATAGGATGGGGAGAGCATGAGACCATTTTGCAGCTCCCTTATTTTCCTGCCATCATGGTCACCAGAGCCAGGGATGGGTGGTACCAAAGAAATTCAGTTATCTTCAATGAGGGGAAGATCATAGAGTTCAACGGGCAAGAGCAGAGAATTGAAGAATGCTGAGCTCTTTTTTCCTGACAACTCTGGTTCCCAGCCAAACCTCTATGTAAAGATGGAAGCGGTGAAATAGTCAAGGGAAAGAAATTACTTTAGAAAACAAATCTCCACTGCCCTGGGATGCTCCATCGGGGGAGGAAGGGTCAGTCAAGGAGTGGGGGGCTCAGAGGGGTGGGCGGTGGGGAAGCAAGTTCAACTCGAAGCTTGTTTAAAGCCATTGTCCTGTTGCTTTGCATCAGGAGATCTTTACACAAAAACATTGCATTCTGATAGTTCGGACATAAATTATCTTAGAAATTCTAGTAGGAAATAAGTTAGAAGTACTGTCTTGATTCTCGACCAACCATAAAACTCTATAATAGAAATCCATAAAACCCACATTGGAACTTAGCTATAAAACATGGAATGAATCAGAGTGGGGACTCTGGTAACAGAGAGGAATAGAAGGGCTATGGATCTAGACAGGTGTTTTAAACTAGCTGTTATTGAGTTGTGACTGCTTGATAATTCTGTATTCATCGAAAGTGCAGTTTTTTTTTTCTTCAGTTTAAGAATGAAGGAATTATTATTGAGCACAGCTAGTTTATACACTAGAAATATAGACTCTAGGCATGTTTTTACAGACAACTTGCAAAATTTCTCTGCAAAAATGGCCCACCAAGGAAGCCTCTGCCATGATCAGGAAGTGGTTCACTCTAGAAATGCTGTCTTTGGTCCTCTCCAGAAAAACAGATGATTTGTTCTCTGCCTCTTTTTCTACAAAATTCTGTTCCTAAGTAAAGTCTTGGGTGAGTGTATCTGTAGTTACTGAATCTGTCACATATGAAAACAATGAGGGAAAATGGGAAATGTGGTTTTTAGCTTTCTAGCCTCTACAGTATGGGAAGACATTCTAGAAGGTGATCGGATTGGTTACTGAGTGAATCAAACCATAGTATCTGCCAGATATGCTGTTTTTCATTTGTTTTGTTTTGTTTTAATCAGATTATTGAGGTACAATTTACATATAATAAACTGTATCCATTTAACTTATAATTTGGATGGGTTTTGGCAGACACTTATGAATCTATCAACACATTTGAGATCAGAGCATTTCCATAACACCCCAAATATTCCTCATGCCATTTGGCAATCTCTTCCTCCAACCCCAGTCCCCTGGTGGTCATTGATCTTTCTGTCAATATAGTTTTCTGTTCTTCTAATGTCTTTGTCTGGTTTTGGTGTCAGGGTAATGATGACCTCATCAAGTGAGTTTGGAAGTGCTCTACCTTCTGCAATTTCAATTTCTCATTCTCTTTATTGCTTGGTGTAGAGCATTAAATCATTTGACATCATTTTCCTTTTATGTGAAGGACTTCTTATATGCTACTATTGTAGTGTGGGTCTGCTGTAGATAAATTCTTTCAGCATTTTTATGTCTGAAAAGTTTTATCTCACCTTTGTCTTTTACAGGATATTTTTGCTGGGTATAAAATGCTAGGTTAAAAAGGTTTGTTTTGTTTTGTTTTTTCCCTTTCAGTACTTAAGAGACATTGCTCCTATGTCTTCCCATTTACATTACTTCTGATAAACTATATGCTGTTATTCTTATCTTTGTTACCTGTGTGTCTTTTCCCTCCAATTGCTGCTTTTAAGAATTTTCTTTTCAGGATGCCTGGGTAGCTCAGTAGGTTAAGCATCTGCCTTCTGCTCAGGTCATGATTTCAGGGTCCTGGGATCCAGTCCCACATCAGGCTCCTTGCTCAGTAGGGAGCCTGCTTCTCCCTCTGCCTGCCGCTCCCCTTGCTTGTGCTCTCTCTCTCTGGCAAATAAATAAATAAAATCTTAAAAAAAAAAAAAAGATATTTCTTTTCATCACTGGATTTAAGAAACTTGATTATGATATATTTTGGTGTAGATTTTTCATGTTTCTTTTGCTCAGAGTTCATTGAAATTCTTGGATCTATAGTTTTTTGGCTTTTTAAAAAATAAAATTTGGAAAACTTTTAGCCATTGTTTTTTCAAATATGATTTAGGCACCCCCCTCCCCATTTTCTCTTCTTTTCAGAGACTTTACTTACATGCATATTAGGCTGCTTGAAGTTGTTCC